TACATGCTTCATACAACCAAAGTAATCGGCTATACGGCCAAGCCCGAAATCTCTCCAAGTATGTGAAATCTCTTGTTAAGCATTGACCAAAACTTGCCAATAAGGCCAAGCCCGAAAACTTTAACAATGGGCGGCTCCCTTTGACCACCACTTCCCCTCAATATATTTTTTCATTCACTCTTATGGTCAGTTCGCTATGAATTTCCAAAAGTTAAATCAAATTTTGGGTTATACTTGTATATAGCCGGTTCACAGTTAATGAACTCTATACAAGATTAGTCACTGGTTGTTTCTTACAATGCTTAACAAGAGATTCAAAATCGATAAAGGTTAAGATTATTGTTTTAGTTATGAAAATTTGTGTATGTTTGTAACCAAGTGAGCGTCGACTTTCAGTTGACTGATTGGTGTAGCACGACGTCATTGTTTAAACTAGCAACACTGCAGATTATGTTGATGAAGTATAAGAAGGTAATTCGGATCAATCATATGAAAACAGAATTATCTCCTTCACAGTTCACAATTTACACACTTACAAGTGGAGTTTTTTTTTTTTTTTTTTTTTTTTTTTTTTTTTTGTTTTTTGTTTTTTGTTTTTTGTAAAAGTAGATTAGGTTTCAAAAAGTATTGTAAAAATAGGTTAGTTTTAAAATGTATTGGAGAAATAGGCTTCTTTTTAGTTTGGGACACTATTAGTATGTATCTTTATTGCCTTCATTCCAACAAATGATATATATATATATATATATATATATATATATATATATATATATATATATATATTCAAGTATCACCCCTTAACTTTCATTACTTTTCTATTATTTATATCTTTGATTAATTCAAAATTTTACATTCATTATATATTATACATAGATGATTATTATAAAATATATAATTATAATTTATGTATTATTCTTAAGTAGTTATACCACTAAATGAATAATACAAATACAATAGATACTAATGTTAAATATATTACGTCGGAAAATTAAAAGATCAACTATAAACGATATTACATACAAATTAAACACTAAATTAGAACTTAAATTAAACACTAAATCATAATATTCATAATGATATTTTTATTATCGTTTATTTGTAAATATGAGAAAATCTTAGTCCACAATGCCTAAAATGTATAGGATGAGTTGTTACTATTTGTGAAAACTCTATAATTGTGTTATTTATTTTTACTCAACTACAAAAGCAAAAGTCTTCTGCACATTCAAATGTTACTGTTGATGAAAACTTAGTAGAAGTAATTCAGTGAATTGTTAAATCATCTCACTTTTTTTTTATTATAAATTAGTTTTCTTATAATCGATAGTTTTTCATCTCTTCCAACCTAATGAATTTCTCTCACAATTCTTGAACTTAAATTCTTTCATTCTTCTTTTTCTTTAACATTCGTTCATCCATAACAAGGTACATATTATTGGTTTTATGTTATATATTTAATAATAATAATTATCATATGTAGCATACTCATCAATATATATATATATAAATTATGATTTATTTATATCCATTATTTTCAACAAACATGCAAATGTAAGTGGCAAATGGAAAGATTTTAATGTTCTCATGCTATTGCAGTTTGCGGTTACAGAGGGGATAACCCTCTTTCTATTGTTAATATTGTGTACACTACTATGACTTATAAACAACAATATACATCAGCTTTTGTCCCACTTTCGCATGTTGATTATTGGTTGAAGTCGGATTGGAAGATTAAAGCAGATAACTCGAAACTTTCTGTGCATAGAGGCCGGAGGCGTACAAATCGACTTCATAACGAGATGGACATTCGTCATACCGACGAACCTCGCAAATGTAGACTATGTCACCAAATTGGTCATAATAGAAGAAATTATCCAAATTTCCAGCCAAGATTCAATGCGACTTGAACTTTGTAACATTTTCAATTAATTAAGTTACCATTTAACTTGTATTGTAAGTTTACGCTTAATTCGTATTGTAATATCGTTTTTAATTGTTCTTGTAATTTTGTAATGTTGTAATATATACAATATTGGTATCTATTTGAAGGTCTTTATAAGTTCTGCTTAAAGGTATAATTTGTAAATAATAATACATAAGATATAATCATATATTATGGAATAAAGTAATCTATGTATAATATTTAATAAGAGTAAAAAATGAATTGTTCAATTGTAAAAAATATAAATAAAAAAAAGATTAAAGCTTGAAGGGTTAGATTCATAACATGTAAAGGTTAAAAATGAAAATACATATTGAAAAAGGTTTTATTCAAACCAACCTATTTCTACTAAGTATTATAAAAATAACCTATTTCTACAATACAAACCTACTTTTACAAAAAAAAAACTCCTTACAAGTGCGTGAACATTCCCAGAAGAATTGGTTGATTTGTTGCAGTGATCAAATTAATTAGCATAAGTATTATAAAAGAGTAAGACGACTTACTCGTTGCCATTATTTTTCTTGTTATCTTTACCTAATGATCAAATGGATTACAAGTAAAAAGAATATGATTTGTCATTTAACATCCTCCAAATGTAATATTACAAGTGGGGATTAGGTGGTGGGATGCATCTTTGGATGTTGCCTCATGAATTAGCAGATATCGCTTTTGTCAGCTGTACAAGTCAACTCCATCATTGTAGCTTATATATTTAATGGACGTGACGCCCTCCTAATTTACCAAATAAAATATGTAAGAAGATAGAAGGTGGACTTTAAGAAAGAAAGAAAAAAAAGACGATTTTATTTTAGCATATGGGTACCCATCAGGTTCACATGTTTGTGTCCATAACTAGTATTAACAATCTCCAGCTTCCAGCTAAGAACAGCTACTTAACAGGACACGGTTGAACATAACATATGTTGAAAACCATTATTTAAAAACAAAAACTGAATTAAGATAATATTATTTAACATCTACTAAATGTAATATGATAAGTGGGCCTCATTTTGGTGGGGGAGGATGCAATCCATGTCATCTCCATCAGTCCATCATGCTTCATGTAGAAAGCAATCATAACGTGGCTTTTGCCAGCACAACAAGTCAACGTCATCTTTGTAAGCTTAAATATGTAAGAAGATAATTAAAAGGAGGATTCAAGAAACAAAAAAAAAGAATATACAAAGATGGCAAGCTCAAGCTCTAATCAGTATGCCACAGTAGAGATTAAAGAAGAAGAATACCCATACCCAACGAATCTTTCAGCAGCAAGCTTTATTAGTGTGAAGCTGAGTGGTAGGGACAAGTATGCTATCTGGAAAACACAGATGATATGTCTCTTAAAGAGTCATGATATGTTTGGTTTCATCGATGGAACACTCAAAAGCCCTCAAACTGATGTTTCTGGAAAGGAGAAAGTCGATGATCATCACACTCACAGGCTGTGGACAAGATCAGATGCCCTGGTTAAAGGATGGATTCTTGGTTCACTCACGGAAGAAACACTCATGTATGTTTTGAATTGTCTCACAGACAAATTCCAACAACAGACAAAAATGAATTTCACTGCAAAAGATGTATGGGATGAATTGCAGACTATATATGGTCCTCCAAAATTGCAGACTACCTCTGGTCTTGTTGGTCTTCCACAACGATTTGAAGGTACAATCTCTTCTTTGCTAATCCATGTTTTATTTAGATAATTAGACAGCTAGAATTAGATATACTTCTATTTAATTATGATTATTATTTGGAGCTTATATCTCTTCAAAGCATATAACTACTACTAATATAATAGAATATGTTCTATTGCACAATATAGCTTCTACTGTATAATCACTAAAAATATTTCTTCAGATCTCTTTTTCGGTTCAGCCCCTTCTGATGTTGCTATTGCTTCCCTTCGACGACACCTTTTCCGTATGGCAGCCTCTGATTTGTTGTCGTTTCTTTCTCTATCAACATTGCAGTTGCCGATCTCACTGAAATTGGCTCCGTCCGCCTCAGCTCGAGCCCTTTCTCGCTACCTTTCTCCGGACTCCCCTTCTGCTGGTTGCATGATCATCTTCTCCGCGTAAATAATAAAACAACCGGCTGACACCAAACCAAAACCCTTTCATCGACTTTTCTACTGCCTCTTCTACTTTTGCCTTCTCACCTTCCGCCTCCTCCTCTCGGCTGGCCACTTCTTCAGATCTCTTTTCCGATTCAGCCCCTTCTGATGTTGCGGCTGCCTCTCTCCGATGGCACGTTCTCCACCGAGTAGTCTCTGATCTACAATCACCTCTTTCTCTATCAATATTGTAGCCACCGATCTCGCTTGAATTGGCTCCGTCCACTGCAGCTCGAACCCTCTTTCTTTTTCACCGCGTTTCTGTGGACTCCTCTACCGCAGTCGCATGATCGTCATCGTTGTCGTCGTTCCTGTCTTCTTATACGAAGGAACTCTTGCTAACCGTCGCTTCTTCTCTCTCCTTCTCCGACGTTCTCTCTCCTTCTCCGACGAGCTGTTGCTGTTAGCCGTCATCGTTAGAGCTCTTCCACTGCCAATGCCGCTTTCTTCATCTAGCTTTTATGTTTTCTTCTTTTATTTATTTCTCCAGTTCAATCGTCTCCACCCGATCAAACTTCGGGGGATGTTAGTGATTAGGGTTTAGGCCCAAACCCTTTAGGATTTAGCTATTAGGCTTTAGGTATTCTTTATATATTGTTATGTAATTGTCATTTGAGAAGCAACATAACTCCATTATCTAACACTTTAATGTCCCTATTGATTATATTTGATTATATTAGAAGAACACATATTTTAATCTATCTTGTAGTTTTTTACCTTAATTCATAACCAATTTATGCAACTATAGATAAACAAGAAGAAAAAAGAAGAGCAGGGATTCACCAACTATTCTACCAAGCACTTGTAGGAGTACGTGCGTATGTCATTGATCTCATTTTGAGTAACGGAGAAGTTACAGTGATAGACAAAATCACGAATAATGGCAACACAGCACTCCATGTAGCCATCGGTGCTACCAAGAAAGCGGACCTATTACAGAAACTGCTGGAAAAGACACCGGAGAACACACAACTGTTGGATCTAAGAAATTCAGATGGAAGCACACTTCTTCATGTTGCTGCCATTGTTGGCAACACCCAAGCTGCTGACATCTTGGTGGGAAGAAACCCAGATTTATTGTTCGCCAAGGACAACGAGGGTCACACCCCATTAGCCATAGCTCTATCTAATATGCATACAGAGACAGCTCAGCATCTGTTGCAACACATCGGTAATGACCTAGAGATGGGTACTCTGTTTTCTGGTTCAGGTGGCGATGAGCTTCTAGTTACTGCTATTTCTTCTAAAGATTTCCGTAAGTGTCTATTGGTTTCAGATTCCAGTAGTAAAAAAAAAAAAAAAAAACCACTTAAATGAAACAATAAACTTTGAAATATGTGTAGGTTTGGCGTGTGATTTGCTAGGGCGTTACAAAACATTGCATGGTGATACTGTTTTGATGGCTATTGCTCTAAATTTCCCACGCGAACTCAATATGTTGGAAGAATTTTCAAGTTTGTTGATTTTATCTTGATTATGCATGTTTCTTATCTTCTCAATCTATATTACAAGGTCTCTCTAATGAACTTGATGTACAACAATTTTCTGTGTTCAAGGGACTGGTATTTTACACTCAAAAATAGAAAGCGCTGTGGTTATCGCATCTGATTATACGGTTGAGAAATGTGGTACTAGGGTTGGAAAATTTATCAGCCTATTCTATGTTGGTAGGTCATGAATTGATATTTTTTATAGACATCTAATTTGGTGAACACACAACAATACTTATTATAATTAATTACGTTTTAGTAACTTTTTTACTTCCATAACCCCATATTAACAAACTTTCTATCGCCTAATTAATGCAGGGATTTATTGGATTCTCAAGCTTTTACCTCTAATCCTTAAGATGTTACGTAAGAAGAACGATTAATTACCATCATTCTATAAGAAAATTAGAAGAAAAAAGGTCCTTTCTTTTTGTATCAGATGCTCATTTACGTCTATGTTGCAGGGTGGCCATATATTAAAGAGAGAGTTCGAACACATCTTGATGCTATTCTACTATTAGCGTCGGTATGTGACTTGATAAGATTCAGGAATGACCCCATGTGTTACCATCTATATTACATGAATCCGCTTTATGAAGCCATAAGACAAAATTCATACGATGTTGTAGAATATATTCTGTCTTATTTTCCAGATGCACTTACGAGTGCCAATGAAGAAGGTCACAACATAATTCAATATGCTGTGATAAATCGCTCCGAAAACATTTACAACATGCTATATCAAATGGGCGAACACAAGAATATTTACAGAACAATCAAAGACCCTTCTCGAAATAATCTCCTGCATTTGGCTGCAAGATTGGCACCTTCCAACAAACTTAACCTTATATCCGGAGCAGCTTTACAGATTCAACGTGAACTACAATGGTTTAAGGTAGAAACCTTTGATGATTCAAAAATTGAATTCATTTGGCATATATGATGTTTTAAGACCACATTATTTATCAGTCATGGTTAACATACTATAATCTTGTAGGAAGTTGAAAGATTTGTATGTCCTTTGAACATCATACAAAGGAACTCTTTTGATGAAACACCTCAAATGGTGTTTACAAGAGAACATAAGGACTTGGTAATTGAGGGAGAAAAATGGATGAAGGCCACTGCAGAGTCATACACCATCACAGCTGCATTAATTGTCACCGTTGTGTTTGCAGCAGCAATTACAGTGCCAGGAGGAAACAATCAGGACACTGGACTACCCGTTTTTACCAGCAATACAGCCTTCACCATATTTGCAATATCGGATGCCATATCATTATTTGCAGCCGTTACTTCATTGTTAACATTTTTGTCGGTTCTCACCGCACGTTTTGCTGAACAAGACTTTCTCTTCAAGTTGCCTACAAAGTTGATAATTGGTTTGGCTACCTTGTTCATCTCAACCACATCCATGATAGTAGCTTTTGGTTCAACATTGTACATTGTATTTGGCCAAAGGAACTCAAGGATTCTTATTCCAATAGTTGTGTTGACATGCCTACCGATTATTTCTTTTGTGACCCTGCAATTCCGTCTCATCATAGACTTGATGAGTGCCACATATGGTCGTAGTATTTTTGGTAAGAAAAGAGACGACACTTTCTAATAAAACTTTGCGCTTGATTATAGATGGTGGACAAAATAGAGTTGTACTATGGTCATATTGGACTTCGTATGTTGGTCCTTACTTTTAATATGACAATTACTTGAGTTATATGGATTGAGAAAAATGTGGTTAGGTGGAAACATGGAAAATCATTGATCAGAATATAAGATTGTTATTTGTTAAATTTGTAAACAATAACATAAATGTTCCTACTGTAGTTGGCTAACACACGATTAGAGTACATAATTAATGTTGCGATCTTTCCTTCAATTAATCATTTGTATGTGTTAGTTTAAATATTTTCACATGAACTCATCCATCCATTAATCATAAATATATATACATCGTACAAAAAGCCGTATTGAGGTAAACACTAATAAAGCCCAAAGTGAACCGAAGATCAAGAAATAGTGATTCAAAAAGCCATTTAGTGAAGATGTATGGATAACATTCACTAGATGGAACATGAAGGACTCGAGCTCCTCAAAAAGCTACTTGATCACGGACAAAGTGAAGGTCGATCTTTATGTGCATGATACATTGATGTTGCAATGAGTTTGAGAACATGTATACCACCTTGACATCGTCACAATAAATGATAATGGCTTTAGAAGTCGAGGATTGGAGCTCATAAAGGAGATTATGTAACCAATATGTTTCACCAAATACATTTGTGACTACTGAGAGATGGCAATCTTTCGCTTCCATAACCATGAAAGAATGCTACTTTTACAAAAATCACTATTGCCTGAGGTGGATCATCTTTTAGTGGGGCACCCACCTTAATGGACCTTGGGGTACTATAGTGAGCCCTATGAGGGTCATGTATAAAAAGGAAAATAAGCTGAAATCCATAAGTGAGACTGCATCGAGCAAATGTAAGGTATTGTAAAGCACTTACAAGACCACAATAGAGTGGGGTCAACAATTTCTGCCCATAGCATCAAGTTTGAATATTTCCCCATGAACCGATCAATCCAATATTTAGAAATATACATACATCATACAAAGGGCGGTATTAGGCTAAAGAGTAATAAACCCCAAAGTGGGTCTAAATATGCAATATTAATACACTAACATGACTTGTAGGTTCATCAGGATGACTGCACCAAACGTTCAAAGAACTGGAGATCAACAAATAATGATGGTGAAAGCCCTTTAGTGAAGATGTATGCATACTATGCATTGGATTAAACATGAAAGAGTCGAACTCTACTAACAACTACTTGATCATAGTTGAAGTGACGATTGATCTTGAGTGTTGATGAGTTAATGTTGCATAGGGTTAGAAGACATGTATACAACATTGACGTTGTCACAATAAATGATGGTGACTATGGGAGGCAAGGAGTGGAGCTAACGAAGGAGACTACATAACCAATATGTTTCTAAAATTGCATTTGCGACCCCATGATACTCGACCTCGAGAACCAAGAGATGGAGGTTTGTCGCTTGGATGACCATGAGAGAAAAACACAATTATCTAAGCTGGGTTGTCTTATAACACCTATATTTTATAAATATATTAATAAAAGTGGAAATATTTAAATAAACATTCAATGTTAAACATAAGGTGAAACCATAGATAATCTTTAAAAATTTTGTTTGGAAGCTAAATAAAATGAAGAGTCTTAAAATCAATGAGCGAACGTCTTTAAAATTTTAATATTCTAAAATTTATGACACGGAAACTCGTAGCAGTCAAACTAAACTCTTTTTCCTATGAACCCTTGAAAAAAATATTAAATTTCAATGGATAAGCAAATTGCTTAGTGAGCACACTTATCTACACATTTTATCATAAACACATAACTTTCCTTTTGTATCTAAAGTGAACAAGACCATGCTACTTTCCACTTTTTCACAATCGAGAACAAGGTTATGCAATTTCTTTGCTATAATGAGAACAACGCTATGTCCTCACAAGGAGGCTATGTGAAACATATAATCATATCATACGAGTTAACACAATGTAAAAACATAATATCATGTATAAAATCATGAAACTCACCTGAATAATGTTTAAAGTGTCAACTATAACTAAATACGAAAATAACACAGCAAGTACGAGTTAAACATACAAAACTACAACCAATTACAAACTATTGAATCATATAAACTATTCTTTACTTTATTCCATCATACATTACATTTTTCTTTATTATGATCCTATACACAATAACCATTATCCTATTACCTTAACCCCATTAAGTTTGGATTTACACTTTGACTTCAAAAGATAAAATGAAGCATTCCCTCTTACAAGCATTGTAGTGGTCTGCATATATCAGTTGCATATCAGGGACAACCGATGGTAATATATATATATATATATATATATATATATATATATATATATATATATATATATATATATATATAGAGAGAGAGAGAGAGAGAGAGCTAGGTTCAAATGTTTTTAGCAACTATTGTGTGCATGAATGCACCAATAGGAAATTAGGAAAAAATAAATCATTAAATAAATAATTTAAGGGTATTATAGTAATCTTTGCATAGTTAATTATGGTAGATCAACAACAATTCCTTATATCACGCAACAAGCAAAGATAAATATAGAACATTAGCCCTAAATTGATTTCACCGCTTCCCATCATCCCTGTAGATCGATTAAAAACAAAATTGAAGAGGACACCTTCAAAGGACGGTAATACCATTTTTCTTCTTCTTCTCTCTTCCACAACTGTCTCTTCCAGATCGAATCTCCCCCCTACAATCTAGGGTTCTGCAAATCTCCTTAAGCTCTTTCGATTACATTTGTTGAACCTCTCTTCACGATCTGCCCACATCTGAGACATTATTTACATTTCAATGTACATAAACCCTTTTCCCCTTTTCAATATTTGCAAAGATTTGATTCAATCTTACCCCTGTTTTAGCAATACTTGGTGTCCGATTTGATTTTTTCTTCTATCGTTTTTAGGTTTTGTACCGATCATGACGATTGCTGATTCGGGTGCCCTAATGGAAGAGCGAAGGATTGTTAAGGAGTTAACAGATAAGGCCAAGTTATGTTTGAAAGAGGGAAACTTATATTATGTCGTCTCCAACAGGTATTCTAATGTATATCTATGTTAATTTATATTATGTTGTCACTATTTCTCTCTGTCTTCTCTAAGTTAACTTATCTAATGAATTTGATTAGTATGTTAGTGTGTTTGGCTGTACTTTATCTTATTGCATGTAAGGTGTTTGTGAAAATGTCTAAAAGAGAACTTGATATAATATATACAATTTGTTTGATCAGTGGGTTTGGATGTACATTATCTCATGATTGATTTTGTATATGATTGATTTTAGGTGAATTTGATTAGTGTGTTAGTGTGTTTAGTGTGTTAGTGTGTTTGGTTGTACTTTATCTTATTACATGCTAGGTTTATTCTAGCAGTTGGTATTCTGCTACTTGTATTTCACTTGACAATATCTGATGTGTATATACATGCTTGTATGTGTTCACTTAGGAAATACGTTCCTTATTCATTTTTTATTACGTGATGCATCTTTAGTGGTAATACAGAAATGCAATATAAAATAGCAAATTCAAAAGGTTTTTTAAATGATGCCATGACTACCTTATGCTTGAAGATCTTTTCATGCTTAGAATATTTTTGATGTGTTTCGAACACCTTCCAGGTTGGTGATAATGTTTATATAACTAAAATAGAAAAGATGATGATAAAAACATTGATATTTCATCCTAACTTGTGAGAAATACTCGATTTGCTCCTGGACCTTCACATATAAATATACTCATCTAGGTAATTTTATTTATTTTATTATTTTATGCTGCAACTTGATTATAGATGATAAGTTTTCATGGTTTCATTACATATACTAATGAAAAGAAACTATTATACAATGTATTCTAACAGAATACTAATTTTTTTAGGAAAATCAAATACACAATATAGTGGATTCTGTAAGAATACATTATGCTTTGTATAGTGTATTATGTTAGAGTAAACTCAGTTAGAATTTAAAATGATAATTACACTTTAGGTTTAATGATTCTTTAAGAGTTTTTTTAAAAAAATTTTATAATATTTTTTGGTTACATAATAGTAATGGGTAATTGTATGATGCTATAAATGGTAATTGCATATATATTCTATCATAATTAAATGGTAACTAAAAATTATATTTAATGATTCTTTTAGAATCTTTGTTTACCTTTTAATCTTTCTTTCTTTTTTTTTTCTTTTTTTGTAATAGATATTTCTCTTGGATTGCCTATTATTCTGCCAGAATAAAATCTATGTTTTTTGCCAGAATGTATTTTATGTATCCTATCATATTATATGTATTCTACCAGAATATATAAAGTGATAGTTAATTGCAAGTAACATGTTTTTAACCATTATTAGTTTTTGTTTTATTTGTGATAGGAATGGCTGGAAGAATACGTTGAAGACCTAATAGGAATAACTTGAAGAGTGAATAAAGTTTGATCACACTCATAATTTTAGAATGTTGTTAATTTTTTAAAGAATTTTATTCATTTTTGTTGATATTCTTTTAGAATATGTATAATTATATTAAAATGTATAAGACTTTTAATCTGTAAGAATATGTATGAATTTTGTATTTAAGTTCGGATGTATAAGAATATATTAGAATGTTGTTATTTTTCAACATTGGATTCAATAATATTGTTATTCTTCAATAATATTCTAATAGAATAAATTTGTGAAAGAACATCATTCTAACAAAAAAAAAATATTCTGACAGAATAAAAATCGGTTATGTATACAAATTACGTTAGAATTAAAATTGAATTAATTAACAAAATTCAGATTTTTAAATTAGGAGAATTAATTATCCCTAAAAATCTGAAATTTTCCTATTATAAATGTAGTTAATTGTCCAAAATACCCCTTTGCTAGAATTTGTGTGATTATATAGTACATGTTATCCCATTGTAATATCATACAACCTCAAATCATGTCCATTGATTAATTTCATCCGTTGGTCCAGATCTGTGCATTCTGGCACACAATAGTTAGTAAAAACAAAATAACCTAACCCTATATATATATATATATATATATATATATATATATATATATATATATATATATATATATATATATATATATATATATCATATCGGATCCATACCAGATATAAAAGTCCATTCTATGAACTACTAACATATATATGATGGATTTAACTCTTTGAAGGGAAAAGCTTCGGTGTGAAATTATATCTATATTGGCTTCAACTATGTATCTAATCGGTTCTCCA